TGGCCAGCAAGCCACTCCCACCCAGTCACATGGCCAGCAAGCCACTCCCACAAAGCAGACCACACCTACAGAAGAGGTTCTAAAAAATTTTGAAACCCACCACTGGGGTGGCCCCATGGGCCAGATCTAAGGACCCTGTGGGCCACATCCAGCCCCCAGGTCTTGACTTTGACACCCCTGAGCTACAACATTACAGGGGTCATCCTGATGCTACCTACAACATTTGTGCTTCACAGATTCTATATCATGGAATATTTGCCATATTTTTCGGAGTATAAGATGCACCTTCCCCCCCCCCCCAAAAAAGAGGGTGAAAATCTGGGTGAATCTTACACACTGAATACAGCATTTTTAGCCGCCCCAAACCCCATCCCCTTTGCAAAAATGGCCATGCATAGCCTTTAGGAGGCTTCCAGAGGGCTCCTGGGGGCTGGGGAGGGCAAAAACGAGCAAAAAAAGACCGTTTTTTCTTGTTTTTGCCCCTCCCCCCAGTCCCCAGGAGCACCTTTAAGTCTCCTAAAGGCTATGCATGCCCTTTTTTTGACAAAAAAGGCCCGTTTTGGTGAGAAACAGGCCATTTTGGGGAGATCTGTAGAGTGCAAAACCCTTTTTAAAAAATTTGTCTCTTCAAAATCTTGGTGCGTCTTATACTCCGGGGCCTCTTATAGTCTGAAAAATACAGTATACTGCCAGATGTCTGCCAGATGTTCAGGCTGGATTTAGTATTTCTATCTACTTATTGAGCCCTTCCCAAGGACCTGGGATGGGCTGCTGTGGATGTTTCATGGTGTTACAGATATTGTTGCAGGATGTAAGCTGCCTTTTGCAATTGACTGAAGATAAAGATAAGAGTTGTAGGAGTTCATAAATTGTGGGCCTGTTTTGGTGGGGTGGTGGTGGTGGCTATTATTCTTGAAATAGATTGATCAGTATTCAACTGGGAAGAGGCAATTATGCGTACGTGGCTTCCCCCCCCCCCACCCACCCTATGCACTTTTTAAATGTCTTGTTTAGTTTTACTTTGTCCTTATGTGCTTTTTTCTTTCTTTTGTTTTGGAGGTTACATTTTAATGTTGCGAATAAAATAAATAATATTAAAAGAAGAAAATTAAGGAATAGGATCGTATCAGGGGTGGGCTGCTACAGGTTCGCCCGGGTTCGGAGAACCCGTAGCTAATGTTATGGCAGGTTTGGAGAACTCCAAATCCCTCCCCTGGCTGGCCCTGCCCCGTCCACCCCTCCCCTCCCAGGAGTTTCCATGCAGCCCATTTTGGATGCAAGGGAAGTGCAGGGCCTGTGCGGAGGCTGAGGGAGCGGGAAAATGAGCCTCCTGGAGGTTCCGGAAGGCTTAAGATTAGGGTTAGGGCCTGTTTCTGGCCTTCGGAGGGCTTCTGGATCCTGGGGGAGGAAGTTTTCACCCTCCCAGTAGCTCAAGGAGAGCCTCTGGAGTCTGGGGAAGGCAAAAACACCCACCCACTCCCCAGTGCAGGAGCTGACTAGGCCATGCCCACCATGGCCACGTCTATCCAGCAACTGGGCAGAGAGCCCATTGCTGAAATTTTTGAAGCCCAACACTGGACTGAATGCCTACTACTACCAGCATCACCCACCAGCTGTGTAATAATCCAGAAGACCTTGTTTGTTTCTACTAGAAAACAAAAAAAAAGTGTCCCCTTGTTTCTGAGAAAACAATTAAGCAAGCTCAACAGATAGTTGCATGTGCAAATATCTGATTTGTTCCATAGTGGCTGAACTAGTTAATCATCAGCGTCGTTCTGGAAGCCAAATGGAATAACCTTCCCTCGTTTAAAAGACAATGCTTATCAGGTCATCTTAGATCAAGAGAGGTGGAAAAACAGACATGGCCACTGAAAGTCCTTCACAGGGATCAAACGTTATTAATTAAGTTAATCAGTCGGGCATTATGCAACAGATCATCAAATGCATACAATCTAATAACAGCCATTACTGGGATCATGGAGAAAGGTGTCTCCTCATGAACTGGAGAAGGCTGATGACTTCTTTCTATCGGTCCATGATAGAAAGTGTCCTCACATACTGTATAACAGTATGGTATGCTCGGGGTGGGTTGCTGCTGGCGTTACTGCTGGTTCATTGCATGCAAAACCTTTGCACAAAAACAGTTCTGCGCATGGGCGAAACATTAAAAAATGGGGGAAAAAATTGCAATGAAAATTGTTCTGTGCACCAAAAATCAAGATGGCGCCGCCGTTGGAGAACTGGTTTGGGGGCGTGGCAGGCCTGCGTTCAGTGACCAGGCCGCCAAACCACTACCAGTTCGGCCGAACCGGTTCGAATTGCTAGGAATCCACCACTAGGTATGCTGGTTTAACAGCCGCGGACTGGGAAGGCACTACAGAGAATGATCAATTCAGCACAAGAAACCATTGGTTGCCCCTTAACACCACTGGGTGGTATTGCCAGGTCTCGCTGCTTTAGCAGAGTAAGGAAGATACTTAGGGATGATTCACACCCTGGCCAGTGTCTCTTCTCATTTTTACCATTGGGCAGAAGACACAGAAGTATAACCAGCTGGACAAACAGGTTAAAAAACAGCTTCTACCCATGGGCTGTCAGACTCTTAAACACACTATAACACCACAAACATATTAATATGACGAATTTCACTGGTGCCGGTGTAATGTCTAATATGTATATACCATGATATAAGCAGTGGTGTGATCCTGCCGGTTTAACAACTGGTTCGGTGATTGCGCACTTTTTAACAAAACTTACCTTCCAAGTTGTACTTCTGGGGAGTAACACAGCTGAGGCACAGCAATCCACTCTGCTGTATGAATCAGCTGAGAGCATATAGGTAAGTAAAGCACAGGAGCGGGAGGGCAGGCCCTGCTGATCATCAGAGCGAGCTGTTTC